AAAAACAGCAGCTGGTTACTGAAAGAGGAGCTGGTGGTCATGACAATACCCTCCCTTCCATGGAGGCCCCCGACATCCCCCAGGCTGATCAGGGTGAGAGCAATGGAAGTCTGCGATCAGGTTTGGGTCCATGATGTGACAAGTCAGGACCCAGGAACGTTTCTCGGGACCATACCCCCCCCCCAATCGACCAGGTATTGCAAGCTCCATCCGCACCATCGGGATCGCAGGAGCCGGCACATAGAGTAGATAGGACCCCCATGGACAAACTGAGCAGGTGGCAGAGCCACAGGAGAAGGAGAGAGAGGACTGGTATGGGCTGGTTTCACATGGGAGACATGGAAGGTAGGGTGGATGTGTAAAGGGCGAGGCAGCCAAAGCCAGACCGCTACAGGGTTAATGACCTTGGAGATGGGAATGACCTTGGAGATGGGAAAGGGTCCAATGAAGCACAGTGCCAGCTTGTGGCATTTCGTCCTAGGGGGATCTCTGGCAAAAACTGAACCCTCTGACCCGGCTGCTACCCTGGGGCAACAAGGTGATGTTTGCTGGCCCACCTCTCATAGTCCCAGCCTGAACGGAAGTGCCACCAAGCCCGATGGCACCACCAGACAAGAGCCAGGGCAGACAGGACCTGAACCTCAGGATCCAGACTTGGGAACAAGGGAGGCAAGTAACCAGAAACAGTCTCAAAGGGGGAAATCCCAGTGGTGGAAGACAGAACAGAATTGTGGGCATATTCGACCCAGACCACGCCCTCCAATCACAGGGACGGATCCTGACCACACAGGAGTCTTAGTCCAGTCATTGGTTAAGTCTCTCTGTCTGACTGTTAGTTTGGGGATGGAACCCAGACAAAACTCATCAAGATTTCGAGGAGGCAGCAGAACTCAGACCAGAAACAGGCCATGAACTGCGGTCCCCAATCAGAGACCACATCATGGGGCAGGCTATGTAATCAAAAAAAATGCTGGACCATCAGTTGGGCTGTCTCCCTGGCAGAAGGGAGCTTGGGCATGGGAACAAGGTGAACCATTTTAAAAAATCGGTCAACAATAGTGAGAATGGTTGTGTTACCTATGGAGGGGGGTTTGCCAGTGACAAAGTCTACTGAAATGTGGGTCCAAGGACAATGGGGTACTGGAGGAGGACAGAGAAGGCCTGCTGGTTTCCTGTGGGATGACTTGTTTTGAGCACAGTTCGGGCAGGCGATGACAAACCTCTTGACATCCCCCCGTAGATTTGACCACCAGAATCTTTGTTGTAGCACGAAGAAAGTTTGAGCTA